ACCAGTGGGCCTGATGGGGAGTTTTGGCCTCATTTTACCTGTCTTGGCCCTTGGGATACGCTAAGAAGAATAGCTCAGAATGAGATCATAAGGATTCTTCAGAAAAGCAATAAAACGGGTTTCTGTTCCTTCCTCATAGAGCAGTTACCACAGAATCAGTGTTACACTGGAGGTGGGCTTGGTCCAGATTTACTTACCCATCTTCTCTTGTGTTTGCAGCAAGGGGTATAGGATTTGGTGGGGTTCCTCTTACTGTCAATTCAGCGTTCAGATCCAGCTTTGGCTCAGCTGCCAGGGATGGAGAAAGGCAGTGAGTCAGGAGGCTGCCAAGTCATCCTCCAGCATATTAGGCCTGAGCTGCAGCTTCAGGCAGATGTAGTGGGCCCTATCCCTTTCCACACAGGAGGTGCCATTTCAGAATACAGTCCCATTCCCAGAAATGATGCTTAGCTTTAGCAAAATACACAGTACCTTTGCTCCTGCTGACTGAAGGAGTCACAAGCAGTCTTGAAAGACATCCCTTGCTTAATATGATTAGCAGTAAACACTAATGCTGAGCTTGAAGTCCTGTTTAAGCATGCAAATGACTTAATGCTTCTTCATGGATCTGTGAGCATCACATTGGGTTTTGAGGGGTGGGGGTTTATTTGCAAGGTTGTGGTCAGATTTTACAAACTAATCTCCAATAATTTCCATTAGAAATGACTGTTAGCATCTATTTCTGCTGTGGTAGCAACTGGGCAACCAGAATAGCCTACCACCCCGCTGTTGTACAAATCACTGCATGTACTGTAAGAGCACACCCTCCCTTTAGTTTAGAAAGGGATGTTGCAAGGTCAAAGCGTCCTGCTGTGGTCACGGAAATAAAACCTTTCTATCCTTGGATGCAGTTGTGTCATTTTGGATCCATTTGTGGAACAGGTAATGTGCATCTGGGAAGATGCTTTAAAAGAATTTGAGAGGCTCTCGGCAACCTGAATCATTCATGCCAGTCACAGAGCTTATTGTAGCCTGGGAGAGACTGGGGGGGGGGGATATAATCTGTTTCTGACTCCTGAAATCTGGCTTGTGGTCACCAGGAGGGTGCTTCGGAAGGAATTTCTTTTGATGACAAAGAAAGGCAGGAGCGCAGCATAAAGCCATTTGACAAAGGTGACCTCAGGTATCATCTCCCTGCTCCAAGGAGGAGAAGAGAACCCGGTGAATGTTTTCTGGGTGTGGATAGATGCAATGCATAAAGGCAAGTGAGAGACATAGAGCTATCCTGCTCAAGCAGTGTGTGTGCTATGGCCCTGCCAGAAGGGCTGGGGCTCCAGTGCTGTGCAAACGCATGGCAAGAGCCCCTTCCACTCCAAAAGGACTTGAGCAGTTCAAGTGCAGGAAGGGAAAGGACAGCGCTATCAGTCCCACTGCTCTGGCTGAAGTGTGAAGGGCAGAAATGTCCCGTATCCTGGCTGAGGTCATCCAGGCAGCTTTCAGCAGACACGTCCCTTGAGCCCAAACATTTTTGCTTCGAAGTCACAGGAGGTCAAGCTATAAAACATGCTCTTTTCCGCACCAGGAGTTCGTTCCTGCCTTCAAGCACCATTCTGTGCGTGCACTGCAGAGCATTTAACAGTAAAAGGCAGAAAAATGCAGTAACGATGAGAAATGCAAGCTGCAAGTGGCACTTACCAGCTTGCTCTGTGTAAAGGCAAGCACGGGCACAAGTAAATGGGCTTACAAATCCAGGCTAAGAGAACACACGGATTTAAGGCAGATGGAAGACAAAGTATTCTTCCTCTTACCAAGTATCAACAACCTAGTAATGAACACCTCGTGCTCCCACAGCCCTCCCACTTGGACGTGCACTGCTGCTGCTTTGCTTCGTTCTCCCTGCATCTCAGAGATGGCACAGAGAAGTCAGGCAGCTTTCCCAAACAGAACCAACGAGCAGCCAAGCTTGGTACAGCAGCCTTTATGGTATGAGTCACACCAGCAAAAAACGAGGTAGGAAAGTCTCATTTAAGTCTCATTTGTTGGGCAGGAGGTGAGACAGGGCCTTCCCCACTGGGAAGGCTCAGATTTGAGCTGTGCTTTGGAAGGTCTGCGAAAGCACTGAGCATTTCATTGCAAGTTCTCTTCTGTGCAAGACTGCAGTGAATTGACTGATGCCAAACCCAAGGAGAGTTCCAGGATGCGTCAGAGATACAGAAAGGGGAAGTTAGGGCTTCCCCAGCCACCCAGCAGTGTTCTACCAAAGTAAGTTCATTGTTCTGTCGTTATGAAGAAAGTACACAGTGCAATGCATGGGGCAGGTGTGGGAAGTTGTAGTTTCTCTGTGTTGTGACCCATCTACCCTTATATTCTGATCTCCTAAAGCACAGAGGCTTCCCTCTGAAAGAATGAAGTAGTTTGACTGGCTTTAAGTGAATGGAAGGAAAGCTTCCTTATTGCAGTCCCATCAGCTTAAGGCTTGCAAGAAATTCACCGTGTAACTGGGAGATGAAGTGAAAGAAAACCTGGTATTCTTCATTGAAAACATCAGTTTGTACTCCACATTTAGTCTGGGTACCAAGTCTGGCATACGTCAAAGAAGATGCTCTCAGGGCCTGCAGACAGACAGCACCAAGAAACCAGCGCGAGTGCAGATGATTTATTTGCTCTGGTCTGAAGTGGTTTTGCTTCCTTTCTGTTGGCCTTGCAAATAAAAAGGAGGAAACAGGGGTAGATTTTAGCAAAGAGCAATGATGTGTGAGAGCAATGAGGCGCGAACCATGGGCCAGATCCCATGTAAACAGCAACACTAACGTGAGCTGTGAGTGATGGGGGTTCTGTAACTGAAACCATTTTGCTTCGCTGTCTGTGTAAATAACTCACATTCCTGGTGAGTTGAATCCTGGAATATCCATCCACACGTAGCAAGGAGAGCTGGCACTGGTGGTCTGACCCTACCCAGGACCCAATAAAATGCCTCAAGCCCCTGACATGAGAAGATCTCATTCCAGATTTTATGGAGTCCTCCCTTTGGTAGCTTATAGGGATCTCTTCAGTGATGGATTTAATGGAGCCTTCCCCTGCTTACCTCTAGAGCAGATTTATCCTTGCAAGGCAGCACAGGATCAGTGTCTTCATGACACTGACAGGAGGTTGTGCACGAGGAGGTGAAGTGGCACGGCTCAAGCTCCCTTCATCACAGCGCAGGATGTGTTAGGAAACAACTCACACACTCACTGGGCAGTACCAGTGCACAGAGCGAGCATCCCAACTGTGTGCTCCAGGAAAGTGTCTGAGGCACAGGGATGCAGATCACAGTTCCTGAAAGGGTTTTGTTCCGTTGGACTCCAAAGGGAAGGGTGGCTTTTGACAGGGGACACAGATCCGGAAGCCTAAAACCCCTAAAACCCCCGGTGCCTGTCTGCCGGGGACATGAAACTACTTTATCACAGCTTGGATGCTCAATGCAGTCAGAAACCACCACGGAACCGTGTGAATCATCAGGACAAGAGCTCGACCTTCAGGTACCTCCTGTATCTCCAGGTGATTCTGGTGCAGACGCCTCGTGATGCTCAGTAGGTACCCCCCGGCCAGCAGGGACCGGGGCAATGGTGCCCTGGGGAGGGGGAACGTTGTGGAGCAAGAGATGTGGCCCCATCTGCAGCCTGCAGGACGGGCCGGGGGTGATGTCCCCCTTGTCGCTGTCAGAGCCCCCCTTTGCTTAGGGTGCGTGTGCCTCTGTACATGGCAGTTCTTAAAGCGGGGAACTGCTCCTTGGGGCAGTTTTCACTCGTTTTTGTGTGTTTTTTTTCATTGGAAGGGTGAACAAAAAGGGGGACGTGGGGAATGTGGGGGCAGTGATGTCATTTGGGGTGCCCCAGTGTCACTGGGGGGGGGGGGGCGATGATTCGGTGGAGGAGTGGATGAGTAGAGGATGGGGGCTCCTCTGAAGAAAGGGGGGTAACAGCTTGGTTTGGGGCTCATTCCCCCCAAAAAGACCTTCCCATGACGGGCTCTGCTTGTGGGGCCGGAGCCGCTGTGGTGGCCCCAAAATAGTCCAAAACCGCTGATTCTGGGTCTGCAAAGACTTGGGGGGGGGGGGATGCTGGGAGGGGGTACCCACACAAAACTGGGTACTGCAGGTGAGGGGGGGGGTGTGGTTGTTCCTGGAGTTGCTCGCTGGCTGCGCAGCGACGTGTTCTGTTCGCTGCTGCCATCCTGCGTCCAAAGCGCGGTACTGCAACCAGGGCTCCACGCGAGCCCTGTTGCATCCGCTGAACGGTTCGTGGACGAGGTGGGAGGCAGAGAGGAGCCCGGCGGCGGCGCCTCGGGATGCTCAGTAGATACCGCGGGGCCATGGTGCCCTGGGGCTCCCGTCCCAGCACGGGAACTGAGGGGGGGACGTCGCGCAGCAGAGCCTGAGCAAGGGATGTGGCACCATCCCCTGCAGCCTGCGGGTCCCCCCTTGTCTCTGTGGTGGCCCAAAAATACCCCAACGGCCCTCATTCTGGGGCTGAATAAGTAGAGGGGGAGATACCCCCACAAAACTCCGTACTGCAGGTGTGGGGGGGGCGCGGTGCGTCGACGGGCGCTCTCTCTGCTGCCATCCCGTGTCCAAAGCGCGGTACTGCAACGCAGCCCTGCTCTGTCTCCTGAGTGGCAGAGCCCGGCATGAGGCGCCTCACTGCGCGCCGCCGACCTGCAGTACCGCGTTTGATCCACGGGTCGGGCAGGGCCGGGTGGAGGTACCGGATGCCCGCAGGAGCAGGGAGCGCTGTGCGGGCTGGAAGCTGGGCACAGATGGAGAAGGAAGGGACTGTGATGGCTGCAGGGCGAAGAGGCAGGACCCAAGGGCATGGGAACGGGCAGCGCAGCGGCAGCGTCCTGCTCGCCCCCAGCCCGACGCTGCTCTTTGCCCGTTGCGAGCGGCAGCGCCCACCGGTAACCGCGTTCCGGGTCCCGCTACGGAGCTGCTCGGGGCGGACCCTCCGTTCCCGGGGCACGCATGCGCGCCGGACCCGGTCGCACTCAGTGATGTCACCTCCGGAAGGGCCTCCCTGCGCTGGGTTCCGCCGTCACCCCGGTACCGGTGCCGGTGCCGCCGCCAGCGGCCATGAGCAAGCGGAAGGCGCCGCAGGAGAGCCCCAATGAGGGCATCACCGACTTCCTCACGGGTAGGGGAGCGGGCGGTGGGGCCGTCGGTGGGGCCGTGGTGCCGTCGGTGGTGCCGTTGTTCCGTCGGTGGGCCTTTGGGGCCGTCGGTGGGGCCGTGGGGCCGCCGGTGGTGCCGCGGCCCGTCCGCCCTCACCGCCGTTCTCCCCGCAGAGCTGGCCAATTACGAGCGCAACGTGAACCGGGCCATCCACAAGTACAACGCGTACAGGTACCGCCGCCCTCCTCCCCGTGCCGGGGCTCGGCCCGGCCCAGCCCGCCCGGTGCGAGCCGGGCCCAGCGGCACCCGGGGCTGACGGGCTCTGTTCCCCAGGAAGGCGGCCTCGGTCATCTCCCGCTACCCCGGCAAGATCCAGAGCGGGGCCGAAGCCAAGAAGCTGGTACGTGCCCGGGGGGGGCTCCCGGCAGCGATCCCGGATGTGCCAACGGCCCGGCCGGGGTCAGGGCTTGGGTCGGGGGCTGCTGGGCATTGGAGCTGCCATAGCCAAAGCCTTGTTCAGAGCTATTGCCCCGGGGGGCTTTCAGTGTAGCCCTTGAACCAACACTGCTCGTGTTGTACCCTTGAAGCCTTGTGTTCCCCATTGGGTCGTGGCCTTGGTGGCCTCAGAGTTCTTTCAGGTCTAAATTCCTTTTTTTTTGCAGGTATGACGGCTTTAAAGTCCTCGTGGAGTTAACCTGTTTGTCCTCCCCTCTCCCCACGTTTAGGATGGAGTAGGCGCTAAAATAGCTGAGAAGATAGATGAGTTCTTATCCACGGGAAAGCTGCGCAAGCTGGAGAAGGTGGGGTTCCTTCCCTTGTGCTCTGCTTCTCAAGAGCTGCTGTGCTTTGTCACTTGCCAAGTAGAATCATAGAATAGTTCGGGTTGGAAAGGACCTGGAGATCATCCAGTTCCAACCCCCTGCCATGGGCAGGGACACCTCACACTAAACCATCTCACCCAAGGCCTCGTCCAACCTGGCCTTGAACACTGCCAGGGATGGAGCATTCACAACCTCCCTGGGCAACCCATTCAGTGCCTCACCACCCTAACAGTGAAGAATTTCCTCCTTATATCCAATCCAAACTTCCCCTGTTTCAGTTTGAACCCGTTACCCCTTGTCCTGTCACTGCAGTCCCTAATGAAGAGTCCCTCCCCAGCATCCCTATAGGCCCCCTTCAGATACTGGAAGCTGCTCTGAGGTCTCCACGCAGCTTCTCTTCTCCAGGCTGAACAGCCCCAACTTCCTCAGCCTAAAAGTAGCCTGCATGCTTCGTGCTGTTTCTGTTGTCACTGGGGGGGCTGATGTCAAAGCTAAGAGCAGTGGCCGTGGAGTCCATGGTGAGCAGAAAGCAGGGAGCAAGGAGCTCATCCACAGCCTCAAAACTGCCTCTTTGTGAAAAGAGTGTCGCTTATGGAGTCAGCATTTGGATGTCTTCCGTGAGGAGTGGAAGTGGGGCGCCAGGAGGCTGTGGAGCAATGCTGCTCCCCTCGGCGTGGGTATGCATGTGGCATTACTGTGCTACACAGGACTCCCTCTGGTACTGCTTTGCACTGATTCATAGTGAGCCTCCAAAGCAGATCCTGTCTAAGCTGGTTTATCTCCCCAGGGTTTCTTTGCTTGTTGCAAATGGAATAAAGAAGGGTTTGGTTTGTTGTTCTCTTTCTGCAGATTCGACAAGATGACACAAGTGCATCCATCAGTCTCCTGACACGAGTTACTGGCATTGGGTAATGTTGTTTCCCTTCGTTTAGTGGAGCTGTGAACAGCATTTGGCTGGGCTGCTTTGCTCTGTTGTGGGTTGCAGACTGAAGCCTTGAGTTTTCTGAAGTGCTGTTCTGAAACCTAATGACACCGTTGTGCTGCTGTTGCCTTAAGTGGGTTCAGAGACTGACTGTGGTTAAAGGAGTTCTTACCGTGCACTCAGCGTTGGTATTTGAAGTAATATTGCCTATCTGGTGAGATCTGTTTAGTTTTCAGGTTGTTACACATTATCTTTATTACACATCAACATACATTACTATTATATTTATTATACATTGCTGTATAGTTATAGCCGTGCTGAACAATGTGCAGGCCAAGGCCTGGATAAGCCAGCTCAGCTGATCAGAAGTACAAACTGCAAGCGTGGGTGCTGATTTTCAGAGGGTGAGGGTCAGAAGCTGCTTCAGTCATGGCCTTGAGGAACGTAGGCAGTGACAGTGAACTCTGATGCCCTTTTAAGATCTCTTTGTGTTCCTGATGGCTGATTGTGCTGTCTCTTTGCAGTCCTGCTGCTGCCAGGAAGTTTGTTGAGGAAGGAATTAAGACTTTAGAAGGTAAGTGTGACTCTGGGTCCTCGGTTCACTCTCCAGTGATGGCTTTTTCCCCACCAAAACTGCCCTTTTCGCAGTGGTACTGTGATACCAGGTACGCCATAGTTGTGCAAGATGCACAGACTACAGGCAGTACATGTGTGTGAGATCACAGGGACATCAGCAAGGAGTTTGGCTTTGAGGGGAATGGTTTATTGAACTCTTTATCAGGAGGGGCTCTGTGCCTTCGTGCGCATTCTGTCAGCTGTGAGTAGTCAGCTTAAAATCACTTTGTGTTTGAGGTTACTGTCTTCTTGTTACGTGTTCTTTGCATGCAACATCTTTGCGTTGGTGGAAACTCACTCCAAGAGTTTTATCCTCAAGTAACTTTTTTGGTTTTCTCAATTCTTCTAGATCTCAGGAAAAACGAGCACAAGCTGACCCATCACCAGCGAATTGGGCTGAAGTAAGCTTTCTTGGGTGCAAGTGCCTGCCTTTCCTACTGACTCTTTCAGATGCTACCATGTACTGTAAGGTTACACAGGCCAAATAAGGTTCTGTTCTGTCTGTGTGCTCTACATGCTATTCAGCAGCTATTCAGAGCTTCTGTTTCCTCAGGGCTGTATTTGACTTGTGAGCTTCCCTTTAGCTCCTCCAACATGGATAGCTCTGGCCATGGGTGAGGGGCCTCACTGCTTGCTGGTGAACTGAGGTTTTGCAAGAACCTGTTGTATTTTCAGAGAGCTCTGTAAATAGGAACCCGTTGGTTATATAGTAATGTTACTCTCACCTCATACATACGGTGGGAATAATGTGCAGCGAAACCATCTTCTAAGCACTGCCAAACTTGCAGTTGTGAGTTTTAACTGTTGCTTGGCAAAATGCTTTGTGAGATGTTCCATCAGAATGGGGAGCTTTTTGTGATGTGGCAGTAATGTAAGTTGTATTCTTTCCTCGGACACACATTTAATTGACTAAAATTTGAAGATGCTGCTCTGGCCACTCTTTTATATTTCTATGTGCAGATACTTTGAAGATTTTGAGAAAAGAATCCCAAGAGAAGAAATGCTGCAAATGCAGGTAAGAAGGTGTTCATGGAGGTTGTGAGGCGCTGATGGCTAATGAATGACACCTCTAAACATCCATCTTTCATTTTCATATAGGAGATTGTGCTGAAAGAGGTAAAGAAGCTGGACCCAAACTATATTGCTACAGTCTGTGGCAGTTTTAGACGAGGTTGGTAGTCTGTGATCTCATGTTTCCTTTGGGCTAATAAGCAAGACTCATTCCTATATATGTTGTTCTTCTAGAAAGTCTTTACCTGGCTTTAGTATTGCCTTGACTGGTTAGTTCAGTGATGAAACACCCACATGAATCATTGCTTCTCCACCCTGCACCCATAAAGAGTAGTGTATTGTAACACATGAATTGTTCCTGTGCTTTTTCGTTAGCATTTGTGCTTCATTGCTGTAGAGTACAGCACGAAATTCTCGGGTATTCTCCAAGATTGGTGGGGATGTAAACTTCTTGATGGAAGAATAAGGTTTTTTTTTCCAAATATTTTCAATAGTGACTATTTTCTACCAGAAAAACAAGTTTAAAGGGAGAGGTTAGACAGATGTGCACCAGTGTTAGTACACTTTGTCATACATCGAGGGATTGTTCTTCTCACTTGCCCAGGCGCAGAGTCAAGCGGTGATATGGATGTTCTCCTGACCCACCCGAGTTTCACATCTGAATCATCCAAGCAGGTATGTTGCTTTGCTCCTGGGGGTCAGTAGCGTTACTTCCACAAGAGTACGTTTGAATTCAGAAGGTGGGTAATCTGAGACTTGTATTGCATCCTTTTGTTCCTCTTCTCTTGGATTATTTTGAGGAGTTACGATCATTTCTCAGGTCCGTGTATGATGTTGTGTTCTTCAAGAACTGTTCAGTGTGTTTACTCTTAGCCTTCTGTCTCTCCTCTTTGCTTCACAAAAATTCATCCCTCCTTTGAATTCCTGGGCTTTTACAATGTGATTTTACAATGCAATGTGACATGGGGGTTTTGGTGGAGATTCTTCTATATTGCACTACTGTAATTCTGTCAGCTTTCCTTATCATTGTTGTCTTTTTTCCCCTCTGCATCAAATTTCATGTACAGTAATAATTGTAGAGATGTCCCTTACTTAGGTGGGCCATTGTATGGTAAATGGGGAAGATATTCTTGTTATTTGTAGAATAATTTCTTCTTCTGTCTTGTCACTGTTCCTAGTCGAAACTTCTGCATCAAGTTGTGGAACAACTGGAGAAAGTCCACTTTGTGACTGACGTGCTGTCTAAAGGAGACACAAAATTCATGGTAAGGCCTTTTGGGTGGTGAGAGATGGAATGAAAAGTGGCAGAGGATTTGTCAAGAAAAATTTGGTATTTGTTCTGTTAGCTTGAGCTTCGTCTGCCTTTTTCTGAACCTGCTGATGTTTGTGCAGGCTGAAGAGCATGATAATAATTAGGGCAGAAGAATGGGACATGAGAAGTGATCTTTCCTGCTGTAATAAGTAGGAAGCAATTAGACACTACCTTGGACTACAGTCTCTTAGCAGTGTAAAATAGTGCTTCTGGTTACTGTGACATCCAGCTCTTACAGTAAAACACTTCTTCAGTTCCTCGGGAATTTAACTTCACTCTCCAGGATGACTGAGGGTTACTGGGAGGTTGTTAAGGGGTAGGGAGGTGAAAATTGATCTCAAATCTGTTTAATCTGAATTTCTTGCTTTCCTTACTTTCTCACAGGGTGTCTGTCAGCTGCCAAATAAAGAAGATGGAACAGCCTATCCACACAGGAGAATTGATATCCGGTAACACGCCAAAATATCCCCAGATCAGACCCCTGACTTGAGCTGTCTGCTACATAGTAGGCATTTGCATCAGGTTCTGCATTCAGATCTCTACTTTCATGTTCAGAACATGGCATTTACTAGGTTTCTAATTCCTATGTAGTATGAAAGCCACTGTACAACTGCCAGTATCTACAACAGGTTATTAGCAAGAATGCTCTATTTTACCTCCTGACTTTGAGTCCACTTCCAGACTTGTGACCTGCTTTATCACACTGCTTTGACATTAATTCTAGGCAGGAGTGCAAGCTCCAGAAGCGTGTAGTAGCTGGACACCAGTAACTTCTGAGTCAGGGTAGATGAGCTGAACCTTTCTTTGAGATGCTTTTAGTTTCATTCTTGTATCTGGCTTGTGGGAAGATCAGATGTATAGAGTTGCAGTAGATGTGCACATGAATAGGGAGTAATTCCAGAACAGCGTCCAAATGGCTTATAACTGTTATATATTTGTTCTAAATCTCTACTTTTCTTCCACTTTTATTCTAGGCTTATCCCCAAAGATCAGTATTACTGTGGTGTACTGTACTTCACAGGAAGTGATATATTCAATAAGAACATGAGAGCTCATGCTCTGGAAATGGGCTTCACCATCAATGAGTACACAATCCGTCGCCTGGGTGTCACTGGTCAGTCTTTGCACAGAGTGTTATTTCTAGTTACGTGCTTTGTGGGTTCTTAAATTGGTTTCTTGGTGTACTGGAAATACTTCTGATCACTGCTGGAGTTCATTCAGTTTTTCACTGTGTCCTTTCTGGTGTTAGACATCATTACAGCAGGAGGAGGCAGCTTATGTATGGGCGGTGCTGTAGCCAAAGTTACCTCTTTGGGCCACCTAATCTGCTTAAAGGCTTACTGACCTAAAGATTATTTATTCAGTGTCATGCACAGCACATATGTGGTTTCCCACTCTTTTAACAGGACACGATGTGTCCTTTATTGTTTTGCTTTGGAGGGAGGCTGACTATATACACACGAGTACTGGTGTATTTAACTGCATAACCACATGGCCACAGAGTTAACTCATTACCTTACTTCCTTTGACACTAATGAGAATCAGTAGCTGAACACTGTGAAAAGGTCTGTGAGGGTGCTTTGGTTTGGGTTTTTAAGTCTGTTTTACTTACAGCACTTTTGTCTTAATCTTGCAGTGCATTTAGCATTTCAGGATTGTACAGACCTTCCACCTTTCAAACTGCATCTCTAATTTGCTTGCAGGAGTTGCTGGGGAGGCCCTGCCAGTTGAATCTGAAGAAGACATCTTTGACTATATCCAGTGGAAGTACCGAGAGCCAAAGGATCGCAGTGAATAACTGCTTGTTTAGGTTTGTAATGCAGAGAGATGTTTTCATAACAAAACTGTCTCATGTAGGCTTACTGTTTAATCTAGCAGCAGCAGTCCTGCTTCTGAAGACAGACTGCACCTCTCCTGTTGGTTAAACAGCCTTCTGGTTAAGATATTGGCATCTTGAACCGATGTAGGCATCTGCCTGCTCAGAACTGTGTATTGGTCTGCTAGATCTTCCTTCCAAGCTGTTTCTAATTTTCTGTATCTTGTGTGGCAGACACCAGAATGAGAATCCTGAAGTACTCCGAAAGAATACCATTTCCAGCTACTGTCTGTATCTCCTTATCTCTGCATTAAATGTCCTGGTGTGGTGCTGAAGCTCATGTTAAGCTGTTTCCATGTCCGTCCTTCAAAAACCTTTCAGTATGGCCATATACTGATGTGCCCATTCTTCTGTCACATAGAACCCATATTCATTGTTCCTATGTTGTAGCATTATTGGTTGCAGTGATGTGTGTTTTGTTTGCCATTACCCAGAAGACTGGTCTGAGTAATTGAGGCATTTCTACCACCCATGTAGAGTGGATTTGCCTTCTTTTTTATGCAAACCAGTCAGCTCTGATTTTGATAGCCCCTCTTAAAGCACTGTGAACGGTAGGTAGTGATTATTTTGGATGTGAGAGGAGGGCTCATCAAGATTGCATTACTAGTTGTATGTGGGACTGGGATTCTGTTGGTTAATTTAAAGAACTTAATATTAAGTAAAACTTAATAAAAGTAAGTTTTAAGTAGCAAACTACTACTTTGATGTATTACAAAGCATCAACATGGAATGTATTGCTGCTATTGTGTTTAAATACCTTGTAGGGATATAAGGCTAATGTATTATAGAACTGGAAGCCTGAAAAGGCAAGACTTTTCTACATAGCCAAACTGAGTATTGCTAATTATATGTAATACTTCTTGATTCTTTAATGATTAGGTCTGCTACCTGCCTTTATATGGAGGCAGAGAGGAGTCTGCATCTGTATGGTCAGACTACATAACCTGACTTGAATCATGAAACAAATACAGATTTAATACCTCTTCTTATTTTTATCTGACTTAAGCCTACAGAACAGCTACATTTTTACTTGTTCTTACATAGTTAGTGTTGAACAGTCTTAGTAACGGAGATTACATCCTGATGGTCTTGCTTATCCCTTTATTTTCTTCTGGTTTGCCTATGGGGAATTCAATTATTTTCAGGGAAAAATGCATGCAGTGGTGCGTAAGGTGACCAGCAGGTAACTCGGTATCATGTGAAGTCTTCTGATGCCTCGTGGTGAAAACAGATGTAGCTGATGTATTCAGCAGCTGGTGGGAATAAACAAAATGCCAATTCCATCCGTCATGAATGCGTCATCCTTTTCTTAGCTGTAACTTCAGGAGCAACAAGCAGCAGTAACACAAGCTCACCGCGTTTACGCACGTTTCCTAGGCAGCGCGCCGCATTCCATTGCCGAGTTCTCCATCATCCTCATCAGCCAGACCGCTTGTGCTTGGGACTTGCGGCAGAATTTGCTGGGCTCTCCCGAATCCTTCCCCGTGGCACGCTCGGCGCGTTCGCTTCTTTATCTTAACGTACAAAGGGTCCCTTTCCCCTCCCCTCCCCGCACCCCCGGGGACCCCTTTCTCCGTGCGTTCCTCTGCCCTCCTCCTCCTCCTCCTCCCGCAGCCCTGCGCCTGCAGAGGCCGCTGCCCATCACGGCGGGCAGGGGCTGCGTGCGGACGGGCACATCCCGTAGCTGCTCCGTGCGAGACCGCCCCTCACCCGCCCGTTATCCCTGCGACCGGACGCAGGCCGCAAGGACCGGGCCCGGGGCGGGGCGGGGCCAGCGCGCGGGGCGCATGCGCGGAGCTAGGCGGTGCTCGGGGGCGCCGGGAGCGGTGCTGGAGGCAGCGCGGAGGCAGGTACCGGCGGGGCCCGGCCCGGCCCGGGGCGGGAGTCCCGAGGGTCACCTTGCGCGGCGGGGCCGGAGCCCCGGAAGGGACGGGGAGAGGCGGGGTCCCCGGCGGGAGCTTCCGCGCCCTCGGGTGCGGCGGCGCCGGGCTCCGCGGGTTCGTGGGCTGGGCCGTGGCGGCGGGGCGGGGGGGGCCGCGCTCCGTTACCCGTTGCGTAACGCGCGTCTGTGGCGTGTCCGGGGCGGAGGCCGCCCCGCTCGGGAGCGCGCCCGCGTGCGCGGTGCGGTGGGTCCGGGGACTCACGGTGGGTCCGTAGGCCGCGGGGGGGGGGGGTGGTCTCGTGTTGGCCTCTTCACGGCGGTGCCCCCTCCGGTGTCAGCTCCGCATCCGGACGTGGCAGCGTTAAGCATCGCTTGCTCCCAGCCGTTCGCTCCTTGATGTAATTTGTCCCGTGGGTGCTCTGGAAGGGAGAAGCAAAGCACAGGATTAAGGAGCCTTTGTTTAAAACCAGTGAGTGCCGCGGCTTAGCCGTTGACAAAACTGTTGCTTTTCCCCACATTTGTTGTGTTTTGTTTCCGCTGTTACCGCATCTGATTGATGGAGACCAGTTCAAATTTGGTGTTAGTAGTGGTGGAACTGTGAGCTCAGTTACTCTAAATTCAGGCTTGCGGGTAGAGCTGTTGGTATTACTGTTGGTTAGTCTTTTCGGTAACAAATGAGGGATTTCTGGCGTCAGGTGTTGCAGAGAATAGCAATAAATGCATCAGCTGTAAGAAAAGAATTACCTCTAAAATCAATCAATCAGTCAAAAGCACCATCTTTGGCTGCTTTTTTCCCTTTGTTTTTGTGGACCAGGTGTGCCTTTACATTTATACAAACTTATTCTAGAAAGGGAAGACCAGTTTTCAACTGGGGAAGAGTTTCCGTACTCAAATGTGGATTTTCTAATGCAAAATGTGGTAACGAACATTAAATATGTCACATAAGCTGTAATACCACATTATGTCCATGACATTATGCCCATCCTTTCGAGTTTTGCCCTCCAAAGTTGTGTAACAGTTACGTGTATTAGAAGATGCAGGGTTTGCTGCTGTGTGAAGACATTGCAGAAATACTCACTGGTGGCTACTGGACAATGTACAGAGATGCCCCTTTATGTATTACACATCTCTGAAAGAGCTTTTGAAGAAGTCACAAGTGCTCAGGGAAGTCTTTCCCTTTGTGATTGTTCAGTGCTTATGTGGCTTCACCCCTTGGGTTCCCTTTCGGAAAGGGTCCTGCCATAAAAGCAGCGTTTGCTCATCATCAGAACAGCACTAAGGCTCCTGTGAGCTCTTTTTGCAATGTAAGAATGTGTAGTTTGATGTATACTGTTCGTGGGATTAAGTGATTCCAGACGATGGATTTGCTTTCATAACTTCTTTGAACTGAAGTTTGTTTCTGATGCAGGGGTGACTTTCATGAACATCCTTCAAAGGTCATGCAGCGGGTACTGGTCAAAGACATTTCTAAATGCTTTGGATGTAGTTTAGATTTTATGCTGTTAAACCTAAGATTCTTACAGCTTCCAATGTGTTTCAGATCCAATGGCTGTCCCACCAGCATACAGTGACTTGGGAAAGTCTGCCAGGGATGTATTCAACAAGGGGTATGGTAAGTAACATGGCTGCAATGGGAATTCAGCAGAGGCCTGGAGCATCCAGCCCCTTCTGATTTGAACTTTAGAGGTGTATCATGACAGTGCTGCAGCAGGGAGAGAGTTGGAGGGGAAGGTTACGAGTGTGACCTGAAGATGCAGTCCAGAACAGTCTCCGAAGAATGCTGCAGATTTTTACCTTCTAGTTTTTGTACTTGGAGACATTAAATCAGTTCAGTGCATGTAGGTCAGCACAGGAGACCATATGTGCCACCAGACAGGTTTGAAGTAGAGCGTTAATCAGAGCAGCCTGTTGGCTTAGTGACATTGGAAATAATTGCACCATATTTGCATTCTCCTCAAAGAATTTAAATGGAGAAATTCTGATATTAGTCCCTTCTCTGGGAGCGATATGTTGATGTTTTTATCTGTACTCTTCTATTTCCAGGATTTGGAATGGTCAAGTTAGAGTTCAAGACCAAGTCTTCCAGTGGGGTGGTAAGTACTGGAGGCTTCCAATGTCACCAGCACTCCCTTTAAAACCTGTAGCTGACAGTCGTGGAACTGATGGAGTGGTACTTCTCCTACAGCATGCTTTTTGTTGTGAGCAGGTTGCTTTCTTCCCCGTTCCCATTGCCACATCCCAAACATAGAGTTTCTTCACCCTCAATAGCTCTCATTTCTGCTTCTGAATGCAGTTGAGTTTCTCTGCAGATGTTGGTTTTTAAAGGATTTTGAGTCCAGACTGACCTTTTATCCAAAAGGCAAAGGGATAAATAAGAGCCATGGTTTAACTGAATTTTCACTCATCTCCACTGTGCTTACAATACAAGACTTAATTAAAACTAAGTAGTTCTTCTGCTCTACCCTTTGTGCAGACTTTGAGAGCATTTTGTAGACATTAATGAAGATTTAGCACTTAAGGTAACTAGAAAATACTATGAACCCCACTTTAATGGTGGAGAAGTGGAGCTTCCTCAAGATTTCACAGGAGGGCTGGCAAACTAAGTCTTATTTTCTTAATTTTGGTCTTCGTATATTGTTTACTAGATAAGGTTATTCTTACACTGAGTTTCAGATCTGTGTGTGCTCCCACTTGATGCTGTTCTGGTTGATAAGCTGTACTGCTTTTCAGCCTACTTCATAACCTCCCTCCTTCTCTTGCATTCTTATCATGAAATGGTGCAAGTCATTCCTTTTGTATTACTGTATTCTGTCTCAGTTGAGCTTTTGATGGATTGCTTGCACCAGGAACGTGTAGGCACGAGGAGCTCTGTACTGTGACTGCTGCCAGTTACTGACATGTCACAATATTCGTAGTTTTCCTGGCTGGAAGTTTTTATTCTCAAATAATATGCTAATGGTTAATTCTGCTGTCTTCTGAATGTGATGGAACGTGAACGACTGTACTAAGTTCTAAAAATGGGCTTTTTCTTTTCCATGCAACCTTCCTGTTGGATGTTTATCCAGCTGGTAAGAATAGTGACTGTTTTGGCATGTTGGTTCTTTATTGCTTTGTCTAGCAAGGTTTTCTGTGGTGCATGTTGTTGTTCATAAACTGTTCCATTGTTTTTTAGTCCTGTTACCATCCATGTCATTAAGTTTGACTGTGTCGATAGCTCTTAATCTGCTCTATGATCCATGTATGTAAAGCAATTTAGAGTCTTTGTCCAGTAGTCCACAATAAGAACACTGTAAAAAAACAGCAGGAGGGAAAACAAGATAGAGAAGAGGACTGATACTATTGCTGTTGCTTCAGATTTTGTGCTTGTTAGAGTTTTTAGTGATCACTCTGCTGCAACAAAATGGGATTTGGGGGATGGAGGTGAGGCTAGGAACAAAACAAGAGATCTGATTTCTATTTGGGTACTAATATTGGCTCTGATTGTTATGATACAGAAATATTTTGTGTGTTTTTCCTGTGGACTTGGAACATAACAGAGGTAGTGTCTGTTGGTTGTAACTGTTCCATAGATTGCGAGTGGTTTGGCGTAGTAAGTGCGTGGTGTTCCTGAGGACGCCAGCCAACATATCCTAGAAGGTTATAGACTCATGGCAGCAGATGATGACTGTGTGCCTCCTGCTTCCAGGAGCGGATCTGGTTCTGACACTTGGCCAACAGCATAGAACAGCGTGTTACAAAATACGTATTATACAAAATTCAAAGTTACTGGTTCAGTTGGACTAGTCAGTGAAGGACCAGCCTGATGGAGAGCTGTCAGGGTGTCCCTGGATCAGGTTATTTGCTAACACCATGAAGGAGAAAAGGTCTACAGTATTAAGGCCCTTTACAAAGGGGTGAAGCTTCTGAAGTGTTGTTGCTGACTGAGGTAATGAGAGAGAAGTTGGGTTGGGAGCAAAGGTACTAAAGGCATTAATGTGCTCTGTGAAGAGCCTAAGTGACAACAGTATAAAGGGTAGGGGAAACAACAACGTTAGGGTTTAGTAGTGAAAAGCATCAATCACCGTTCTCCAGAAAACTGCTGAATGGTGGAAAAAGGAAGAAATACAGGAGGTACTTGGAAAAATGAGAGAAACCCCAAATTTGCTTTGCTGTTCAGCTGGCAGTCTAAGTTGGATGCAGGATTGTGCTTCTTAAGGAGAGTGCATTCCCAGAAGGACTAGAAAAGGTGCTAATTCATGCACCACTGGGACAGTGCTTGAGAAGATGATAAAGGAAATTTGACAAGTTTTTGAGGAAAAATCAAATACAAGTAGCTTTGTATCCCAAACAAGGGTCTTTTTGTATCTGGGTATGGATCCATACGAAGGTACAGAGCAAGTTCTTGGATGCTGAAATAACAATTGGTGCAGAAAAGTGGGGCTTTTGGTGTGGAGGAGGTTGGTGGATAAGTTAGGGGGGAAAAAAGTGGTAAAAATGATAGAGGGGAGCAGGTAATCAAATAATGGTGCGGATGAAATGTAAGTGAACGTATCAGATGGTTGTGGTTTAACTGAAACCAGGACACAGGTCTTTGTGTAACAGTGCTTTTTCCAACCTAAACAAGTTCCGAGGCTCCATCAGTGCACCTCAATAAAAGAAATATCCAGAACAGAGTTCTCCATTTTAGGAGTAGCATTTTATGATACAAGCTGGTTAGTTTTGGTGGTGATAGAGGAGGAGGATTTTGAGGGTTCTGTTAAAAGGCCGAGGGGTAGCAAGTCTGAGTGCTGGCGCTTGACAAGGGGATAAACTGAATGTGAGTAAATATCTGAGTGCTGAAACTCCTGTTATGCTCTTGGCAGGAATTCACTGCAACTGGTTCTTCCAACACAGACACAGGCAAAGCTTCGGGCAATCTAGAGACCAAATATAAGTTCAAGGACTATGGACTTACATTCACACAGAAGTGGAACACAGACAACACGTTGGGAACAGAAGTTTCCATGGAGGATCAGGTAAGAGGAAGCAGATACTCTGAAAATGTTTCAGCAGCTGGTATGAGAAAGTATTGAGCAGAGAACACTGAGTAGTTTTAGTTGCACAAAACTACAAGTTATTTGTATGTGCAGAATGCACAGGCTTGGGGTGGCCGGGTGCAGGCATTCATTGTGCTGCTATGTAATGATCCAAAGATAGTTACTGGCATGTGAAGTCAGGTGGCTGGTGGAAATAACATCACTATCATCCACTCCAGATACGAGTTTTTGTCTATAAAGATGCATGCTAGCTATGTAGAACTGTCACCACTGCAGTCATGCAGGGAGATCAAGAGGGGTCTCGTAGTTGAAATGTTCTAATAGGTAAGGACTTGAGTTTGGCTGCCCTGAATATATTTTGTGAGGTTGAAGAGAAAGTTTATGGTTTGCAGCTCGTCAGTGCTTCCACAAAGGGCTGCTGGCATATAGCACTCTCAAAACAGTTCCTTTTCAAACAGCTTTATGCTTCTCACTTAGTGCCTGAAGCATAAGGTAGTGGGGCCAAAACCAGTTTCTCAGTCTTTTTGTTATCAATACTGGTTTTGAAACCTTCCTGCAATAACAGATATACAGAGTGTGCTCTGTTACAGGCCTCACTGTGTGGAGAAGTCCCAGTTTTGATCCCATATCATACAGCATCTTTAGATGTTTGTTGTAAAACAAGGGAGACATCACGGTCATGTTTTGTCATCTCTATAGACACTAGGTAGAGCTGTAGCGATGGACTATAACAAATGATGTTTCAGCAGTTTTGAGCAGATCTGTTTCTCTCTGCAGTTGATTGAAGGATTGAAGGTGGCTCTTGACACTACATTTGTACCAAACACAGGGTGAGTACTTTTTGTTACCTTTGTCTAAGGAGTGCTACAATTTCCTGTGACTTTTAACTAGAAATGCTTGTTCTGGTCATTGTGTGAATGCTCAAAATCTGCTGTAGAATATTCTGCAGGCACTGTGGAGTATTTTGAAGGCAGTGGTTAATATCAGGCTCACAAGGACAAGGGCTGCTAAAAATGATTCTTCAGCTTTTTGGCCTGGGGGGAACTGAGCAGACAAAAAGGCACTGAAGGGAAGAAACACCAGCTACTGGTGTGGGATGTCATGGATGCTCCTCAGATAAACTGATGATGCCCTAACTCATTGCTCTCACTGATGGAGAACACAGTTTGAAACGTCGTGGGTTTGTCAGAGCATTAAGCAGAAACACTTTCATCTCTTTTGCTTCTTGAGACTTTTAAGGAGCTTGAGATGGTGGAAGACATAGTGGCACCACGTACGTGTATGTACATGATATCAGTGCTACCCTAATCCCATGCATTCTTCAGCAGCTGTGAAGTTTTGAGTAGACATTATTTAAGTGGCTTTAAGGGACATATGGGGTTTTATGCACACACACACACACACACACACATATAAGTGTATGCTACCAGGGATAAACCAACCTGTTTCTCTCTGCAGGAAGAAGGGTGGAAAGTTGAAGACCTCCTACAAAAGAGATTATGTAAATCTAGGCTGCAACATAGACATTGATCTCTCTGGACCAACCATCTGTGGCTGGGCAGTGTTGGGCTATGAAGGCTGGCTTGCTGGCTACCAGATGGCTTTTGATACAGCCAAATCTAAGCTTTCACAAAATAACTTTGCCTTGGGATATAGGGCAGGAGACTTTCAGCTGCACACTAATGTGTAAGTATTACCTGAGCCTAGCAAAACATGATCAGAGGAGCCAAACTAGATGAAAGGTGGGTATATTTATCTATGTATGTATCTATACATAAATCAAGTTCTAGAGATCTATATATAGATATATATAGATAGATCTACATATAGAGATACAGCAACTGCAGTGCACTAACATTATTTTCACTCTTATTGTTCCCATAACCAACTGAAGGTTCCTGGAATTGTCCCTTTATCACAGGCTTGCTTTCTTAAGTCTGGATTTTGATTGTTTTTTTTTGTCAGAATCTCCAGCTGTTGGAAAGTTTTATTCCACAAGTAAAACTTAAGATTTTGGGTAATAAACATGAACAGGAGACTGTCAGCTCCATCTAGGAAGAGGATGAGCATGGGTCCAAGCAAAGTATATGATCTCTTGGTTAATTTTAAGAGCTATGATTGTGAATTCTTGACACACTTGCATTTATTGTAAACAGGAATGATGGCACCGAGTTTGGTGGGTCCATTTATCAGAAGGTTAACGACAAGGTTGAGACATCAGTCAATCTTGCATGGACTGCTGGCAGTAACAACACACGTTTTGGCATTGCTACGAAGTACCAACTGGATGAGAAGACTTCCCTTGTGGTAAGAACCTTGTTACAGGAATGAGTATTTCAAGCTATTTAAATATTGAAAATGGTTGGCATGAAGTAGTGGCATTAAATAGAAAGCATGGTACATGGTTAAAATTAAATCAGGTGTTCAGAGATTGTATTTGAGATAATGGGAAACCAATGCTAAAGCTTCTTATGCTAAATACTAAAGGTTTTGTTCATGGTGAAATAGTCACTAATCTTGATTAGTGTGCTTGCAGCCTGTGCCACATGTGTTTTCTAAAGGTAGTAAGAGGATGCAGCATTTAAATAGTGCCAGTGACTCTTAAGTAATTGTGTGTATATGCTGCCACTAGGGACTGAAGTAGCATTTGGGACACTTCCAACCCAAAAATTAGTTCCAGGACAATTCAGCCAAAAATTAAAGATGGGAAATACTTCTGTAAACTGCTCAAAACTTGGGAATGTGAAAATGGGTTTATGTATCCCTGTGTTCATTGCTTATTAAAAAACACAATCACTACTAAGAGAACAGGAATCTGAACAAGACAGATTTCATTAGCTATTCAGGGACTAGTAAGTAGCTCCTTTCGGGCTCTAAAGAGACAGTGGAGGATGGGCATAATGGGTCACAATTTGAGGCAAAGATTGGAACTATTAAGCTATAACAGGCTTAAGCTGGAATTCCTTGAGGAGAAAAAGAAAACGTTGGAATACACCTTTGCTAGAGGTTAGTCTGCAACTCGCCGAAAGATTTAATGCATAAGCTCAGGGTACTGGGACAGTTCTGTCTGGATATTTATACAGAGTGTGTAAAATGTATTTCTCTTTTTCCCTGCAGGCTAAAGTGAATAATGCCAGCCTGATTGGAATTGGTTACTCTCATGCCCTCCGACCAGGTATGAAATCTAACTGGTAGCAGAAAATAGTATTAGTGCTATGCTGTGGGTTATTTTACTGTCATGTTCAGCATACAATAGATAAATTAGCTAGAAACATTCCCGAGGCTCACAAAAGTAAACTGTGTGCATGTACAGATGTTCTTACATTATCAGTGTGTGAAGGGTCTCATTACTTGCTTTCTTAGGCATAAAGCTGACCCTCTCAGGCTTGATTGATGGCAAGAATTTCAGTGCTGGAGGTCACAAAATTGGGCTGGGATTTGAGCTGGAAGCTTAATGCAGCTTAAAGTGAAGCTACAGGTGGTGCTCTGAAGGATAAAGGAGAAGTGTACCCAGTATGTTTCGGCCTTAATATTACCCTGAAATTCCAAGAAGTGTGAACTTCCTATTCTTCCAAAGAGTCATTTCAGCCCAACACTGAAGTCCAGAGACTGCCAGCACATCAAAGGAAGATAGTTGAAGGCATGCATGGAAGTTGTGATGTTTGTGCCACATTTCACTTGTTTCCCACATGTTCCTAAAACCAGAAGAAACTCCCACATCTCCCCATTATTGTATTGCATCCTGCATGTCTCGCACTTTACCACCTTTTACCAAAGGTGAGCTCTGTGCTGTAGCGGCATCTTGGATTTAAATCAGAATGAAATAAATTGGTCCCAGTTAGAACATAATCTTGATGTGTCCTGCCTCTCAATAAGCACAAAATCTATGTCCATCCAGCTCTGCTTCTTTCCTTTGATGTAACTTTAAGCATGGTTAATAGGTAACCTGCAAATACTTTGTTAAGCTGTGTGTACACTGAGGATTTCCTTCTCTGTGGTCTCTGGGGGTAACATCTTTCCACCACTCATGGTTTAGAAACCTGCACAGTGAAAGCAGCTTTTTCATCAAATGTTATTGAGGGTATCAAAAAGAGCAAACCAAAAGTTTACATGTTTTAGATCATTTTCGTTCCCATATAGGAAACAATTACCAGGTAAGTACAACCATTACACTTAAGGAAAAAAGTGCAAATCAGCAAAGTTAAGAAATAAAGTTCACAGTTCAAGTATATTAGGAAGGTGACATCTACCAGTGACTGTGCAAGCTGACTGCACGCAGTGTCCGTTGTTCATCAGAAAGCCTAAAAGGCAGCAAAACAACCACATGTGATGCTTAAGGGAAGATACATCAGGACAAAGAGTAAGAATACCTGCTGTCTTAAGGCACGATTCAGAACTTTTCCAAGCACTTAGAACAGGCATTTCCTACTGTGTCTTTGTGGAAAAAAGGTCCAAGAGGTGGTTACTAAAAGCTAGGCCATGTGTATCACATAAGCAGCAGGTGAAAGTAGGAGGGACTTGAACTTCCCTTCTCAGAGGCAGCAGCTTTTCACAGTTGCCTTCCTGAAACAGCATGTCTTCAAAAGGCAGCTGAAGTGATTTTACATCTGGGTTTGTTCTGGACTGTTTATTTCTTCTACCTGAAGCTGCAGCCAGCTCCAATCTAGAGCCTAAAAGGAACAAACAGAAGGACAACATTGAATACAGTTGAGATTGCTCCTGAATAAAAGGGAAGTAATTTAAAAGATTTATCCTGTAACCGAGTTGGTCAATACAGTTTCATGATGAACCATGAGACTGCTGTAAAGGAAACCCTTAAGCTGCTTATTTTCTCTAGTATTTAACTTTCTTTTTAAGATTCTGCTTCATTAAATAAGCATCCCTGCCCACCAGTGTATTGCACCACCAGACCAGCCCCATTTTAAAGTGTTTGTCACAGCACATGGCTCCCCTCCTCAGCAAGCAGGGAATATGTCAGTCAGTTCAAGCAGGGAAATGGGTGCTTTCTATCTCCCATAACTATTTCTCTTTGTCCAAGAGTCACATACAGATTTCTATTAGCTGTATTACTTATTACAAGCAATTATTTCTGTATTGCTTATTACAAGCAGTTATTTATTACTGTATTACTTATTACAAGTGTGAAACCGTGAGCTTCCCCAGTCCATTTACAGAAGAATATCAGATATGTTACCATGAAGCTCTGCTCCTGATCCTTCATTGTGTCATGCATCACATTTTCTAGTTGGCTACAGAGTTTCTGTGATTCCAGCAGTAGCTCCTCACTGAAAGGGACAATTATTACACAGTTATTGTCCATAGCATTTTTGTTTGAAGACATGCTGCCTCTACCTTGAAGAAACCTTTTTGGCAGGTATGCTGAATATTAACCTTTATCAGTCAGTCCATAAGCTAGTATTTCATATTGCAACTGGGAAAGTCAGTGGCATCCCCAGATATACAGGGCAGGGGAAAGGAAGCATCTTCCAAGCTGGAGTTGGGTTCTTACTATCCAGAGTCACTGTTAGAAAGTTACAGAAGAGCCCAGAAAGGATAACATACAAATAAATCAACAAACCAAAGGTTGTCATTCCAAATGGTGACTGCAAACCAGAGCTACACATGCTTGGTTATAGCAGTGTCTCCTTTATGATACAGCTTGGCTACCATCACCTTACATGATGATGCTCCAACAACTGCTGTTGGCAGTGTACTTCAAGTGAGCCCAACCATTCCAGATAAAATGAAGACTGGGAAGCCCAGCTATAGGCAGAAAAGACTGCTGAGAATGGAAGCTGAACACAGTGAAGAACAGAAAGCTTGTGCGTCATTACACAAAGGGGGAGCCCCAGCGTTGTAGTGCTGGCATTAGCAACTACAGAGCTCCATGCTGCCTTACCTTTTCCTGACAGATTCTGGTAAGTTGTAGGTTCCAGAAGGGACCTGCAGTAGCAGGTGACTAGGACTACCAAGACGTGATGTGTTCATGCTCTCCGGACTGCCAGTAACAGGACCACGTACTTTACTCTGAAGAAAAGACAGGAGATTCACATTGCAATTATTACCCCTGACTTCCAGCAGCTCTGACTTTAATATGAACTCAAAATAACAGAGAAAAGAACCATACTAAAGGTACTATTAATGTCAATAACCTGTACTACAAACCAAATGAAACTGGAGCTTTTATTTCACTTACACAAGCAATTTTCAGCAAGTTCCACAGTTCTTTCTGGCGTTTCTCCTGAAGCCGAACAACTGTTTCCTCATCTTCATTCATCAGATTCATCACCTTCTCCACTCTGGGGAACAACTCCAGTGCCTTCTGCTTGCAAACTACAGTTTTACTATCACAAGAATAAAATCAGATCACAAATGAGCCACTGCTTTAGGGGAACATTCCTGAAGCGTCTTCTTTCCCGTAACACTGAGATCTCATTAGCTGCACATATGCTCTTTCTTAAACCTCTAGAACAAAACCTCTTGCTGAAAATGCTTTTAACCCTCAATGAAAGCTGATTCTACAAAGCTTACCTCAGCTGAGCATAAATGACTCGGACTTTCTTTTCAAAGCTCTGGATTGCCTGTAGGAGCAGTCGTACTATTTCTTGGCTGTCACCGCTTGTCCTCTGGTCTAGAATGAGAGTCAGAGTGTAACACAGAAAGGTTGGCTTATAGGACAGAGTGAGAAGATTCTTAGTGGTTTGTTTCTACTGTTTCTTCAATCCTCAAACATCCCAAGTTCAGGGCATGCAAGTTTGAGGGGGATGAACTGCACTGGATTTTAGCCACCTTCTTCAGAATGACGAGGACTGAAACAGTTGGTAGGCTGGGTCTAATACCCAAAAGGTCTAATGTTCCCAAAGGAACAGCCTCTCATCTTCCCTATACAGAAGCAGCACCATATGCTTGCAGCAACAGCTTGCTCTGAGAAGTGCTCCAGAGTTGTTAAGAGCTCAAAAGCTGCCAAGAAAGCAAGGCTGACCTAATTTAAAACTGAATTCTTGACTCCAAAAAAAGGGGGAGTCCAGTAGAGTCCATGTGCAGGCAGCACACAGGCAGGCTACAATGTAGAGGAAGTTTTCTCAGTGCTCACTACTGCATCTCCAAAGTTACTATGCACACAAAGGAAGCTGACTTTGAGATAAAATGTCTTTTACCTCTTGGCTTCTCTCTCAATCTCCGGTACAGCTCTCTGGCTTGTTCTTCTCTAGAAGAAAAAGGCACAAGAATACATAGGACTTTCTCTAGAACCTAAATTACAAAGTAGTTCGAGTTCAAATCTTATACAGCAGTCTGTCCTGTCAGACTGATAACACATAAGGAGTCAAAAGCTGTCTTCTAGCATCAAAGTCCACCCAGTCCCCCCCAGTTTGGGCTGAAGAGACAGCACTGTCATTGTCTTGCAGTGAGTAAGCTTAGCTAGCAATACTTGTGCATCTGAAATTCAAGGTAGTGCAACTCACAAATCCTCCAGTGTTCCTCCTTGTTTACGACCCAGTGGGCTTCTCTGCAGGTCCACAATGTCTGTCTGCAGGGCCATCATCTTCTTCACTAGCTGATCTACATCATCCTCCTGAAAGCAGGGAGGAACATAAGCAATGGGACAGTTCTCTCCTAAGAGACATTACCACTCACACTGGCTCTTCCTTTCTCATTTGCATGTCTAAACACACCTCCCATTCATCATTGCTTTGCCCTTTTTCTCTCAGCACACAACCACTCCCGCTCCTGGCACCCCAAATTCTGGCTTTTCACTTGGGACTCGTTCCCATGCAGAAGCTGCTGCTTGCTGACAGTCATTCTGCCCTCTGCGTCCTTCCAGCAGAGGAGGACCAAGTGCTGGAAAAGAATAAGGTATGAACTAGTCACCTCTCATTCCTCATCCTTGCCCCTACTTAGAGGGGTTACACTTTCTTGTGTCAGAAGGCTGGATGATTTGGATGCTACCAAGAAAGGGAAATTATTGCCTTTTCAAAACTCAAAGCTGATGCTTACAAGCCTCGTGTTCATTCCTCTAATGGTTCACTTTCCCATTCAGTTTAACCTGTTCCACACCTCTTTCAGCTATCCTGGCTCCAGGACTGGGTTAGCAGACAGCCAAGTGCAACTGTTGCCACGCCTCCTTTCACAGTCCCCAAGACTTCCCCTTTTCCTCTAAGCCTTACAAACACAGCGAGTGTAAGTACTGGTAATGGACAAATATGGTGCCACCTAAACCAAGGCAACATGACATCTGGAACCAGCCCAGACACAAGAAGTTTCTATTTAAGGGAAGACAAGAAAGAAAGAGAGGATAAACAGTCAGATTTTAAAACATACCCTCCCACAAAGTTCCACAGCTTGCTCCATCTCCTTCCAGGCAAACAGCAGCTTCTCAGAAGCTAAAGGAATAAAAGAAAAGTGACTGCTTTTGTCAGGTTCATACAGGAAAAAGGTAGCTATTCTGTGGGGATAAAAGGCATAAAAAGTTTGTCAGATGCTATACTCACTAATTCCAAATTCAATCTGCTCTTTATACTTCTCCAGATCGATCTGAATGCTTGTTTTAAAGAAGTCCAGCTTTGCTTTCAGCTGCTGGGAAAGGGATGCCATGGAATTCTTCATCTTTGAGAGAGTACTATTGTAACGCAACAGATTCATCCTACATGGACAAAGAGAAGGCCCTATTACCTTCTGAAACTAAAAGTGTAGACTTCCCCTTATATCAAAAGTAGATACTTCAGAGTGGAGTAGTGAGCACAAAAGCAGCTGTGCAGGGGTCAAAACTTTCAGCTTTTCATTAATGGCTCCACTCATGGTCTTCCCCATTGCAACAGGGTCCCATTCCTGTCCTTTCCCTTTCACCCAGG